CGTTCAGCCAACACGGTCGGCCGTTGGTACCTGATATTTCCCCCATCTACCAGAGGCATTGGAAACTACTTGGGCGGGAAATTGTTGCTCATAGGTCTCCTAGAGACAAGAGGATCTTTTACATGTCGTAAATCTATGACACGAGACCCACAGCTTAAAGTCCCTCCCAGAGGACTTGTTCCCTGAATTTTTCCACCCTTAAAAATTCCACGACATCTGCCGGGTTTGAACCCGCGTACCTTGAGTCATGAGGTGGGAACGTTACCCCTAGACTACAGAGGCAGTGACCAACACACTAACTAAACAGGTCACAATCAGCTCCTTTTATAGTCATGTCACCTGTAGTGAAATCTCTAGAATATTTGTAGGTGACCTCAGTGTTACTCATCAGCCAATCAGTTTTTCAAACATCTCAGATGACACAAGAGGTACACACAGGCCATTCCCATTACAGTGGTATATCCCAAATAATTAAAGGAATTTGTTCTGTTATCCTGTCATTAATGCTTATATAGCTTTTAATTAATTCTGGTCCTCAGAAAGCTGTAATTTTATTTTTCCAATGTCTATGGAAAATTCTATAGTCATATGATTCAAATTCTTTACAGAGTATTTTAGATAAGTTTCTGGTTAGGCCAGAAGAATCTGCTTGCCCACATAGCATAGTATCAATTTTAACATTTCTCTTGAGACTTGTTTATATGCGATCAATCCCAGTTTACTCATTATTTTGCTCATATGAACAGTAGTAATGGTGAGAGACTGCAGCCTTATCTCAGAGTTTTGTTAACATCCTTCCATACAGAGTTTTCTATGTTCTTATTTATTTACTTCAAATCATCATCTTAAATACCTCATTTCTATTGATTGTTAGAAATGAATTTGAAATTCAAGCACAATATTATGAATTTTATGGAATTTATAAAAGTGTGCGTTCTAATGGATAATTGTAATATCCAAAAATGGTTGAAATATGTAACTACAAGTCTGTTTTAATTTCAGTTATGTATAATGAAGCATGGTGCTAAGGCCAGAATAATAATGTGGGTGTGGCAATAGTTCTCTGGAGTGGATTTCACAGAAATATGAAATAATGAACAACAGTTCACCATTATCATTGTCATTAACATTATCTGAACAAAGGGTTAAAGATACTCTGAGTTTACGTAACCTGTTGTACCCACAACTGACTGTTAATTAAATGTCATCCAGCACAAATTAAAGTAATGCCCACTGTTTGATGCATGCTTGCAAGTCTCAGCCACAGTCTAACCATTATCATTATCATTTATTATCATTCAACAGTCCATACATACAGGTATTACAACCATTTGGATAAGGAAATTGTCAGTTTTACATCTAATTCTCGTGCATATCTTTACAGTATACACTGTACCACTCTAGTATAGGGGGTTTGTTGTCTGAATAATATTATCTAAATCTAGTTACCATTAATTTCATTGTCTTTACACAAATACAACAAATTAATCAGCTATATATTACATTTGCACACTTGATGAATCAAAAGACATAAATTCATCTACAGAATAAAAGGAATTTTTCAGCAAAAAAGATTTTAATTCCTTTTTAAACGAGTTAAAATTGTCCCTTTGTTTTATTTGATCGGGGACCTTATTATACAAACTAATTCCCATATTTATCACACTCCTCTTAAAAAGAGCTGTATTACAGTGCTGTACATGAAAATTTAATTTTCTTCGTGTGTTATAATTATGAATGTCCGAATTTATTGCCATAAAAGCCTTGTATTTTTTGATAAAGAATGTCACCTCCAATATATACAGAGAAGGCAATGTTAAAACATTGTAATCTTTAAAAATTTGTCTACATGACGTGTGACTACTAATACCATTAATCACTTGAAGAACCCGCTTTTGCAATTTAAAAATGCTTTTACTTTCCCCGTCCCCACCCCACAATAAGATACCATTTTTCATACATGGCTCAAAATTCGAAAAATAAATAATTTTTATCATATATGGACTCATTATTTCTTTTAATATTTTCACCATATAAATTACTTTGCATATCTTTGCTTTTAGAAATTGAACATGCGCGCACTATTTTAGGGTTTCTGTCATGTGAATTCCAAGAAATCTCACTTCTGAAGATACACTATTTCTGTATTATTAAAAACTATTTGTGGTCTTAACGGATCATTCCACTGTTTTGAATGAGATGACATGGCAGATGTCTTTTTAGTATTTATTATAAGGTTATTTTTTTGAAACCATATTTCTAATTCTTTCATAATGTTCATTATTTTATATTGAAGGTCAAGTTCATCTTTTCCTGTAATTAACAAATTGGTATCCTCTGCATATAAAACCAGCTTTGCTCCTTGAACATTTTCTGAAAGATCATTAATGTATAGTAAAAATAAAAGCCACCCCAACACTGATCCCTGTGGTACACCATACTTCACTTTCCTACATGATGAATTATAACTGGTTTTGACACTGCCGTCAGTGTTTCTTATTTCTACATATTGGAGTCTGTTTGACAGGTAAGGCCTGAACCACATATTTGGCACACCTCTTA